TTAGAACGACAAATACACTTAGATTACCCAACTTTTCTAGACAATTTCAAAAACGTTAGAACAACAATATATTTAGATTATTCAATTTCTAGACAATTTCAAATCATCCAAAGCATTAAACAATTTCAAAAACATTAGAACAACAATACATTTAGATTATTCAATTTCAAAATCATTCAAAACATTAGAACGCCCATACATTTAGATTATTCAATTTTCTAGACAATTTATATACATGTTTACAACAATAATAAAGTCATGTTTCGTCGCTTACAAGTCACGTAGCAAGGTAAACCTTATCTATATTCATGCATCATTAAAAAACAAATAGATATTTCCATATTAATTTCTCGCTGCTTTTTTTTTTCTCAAAAGGTTGAATACTGGAGTCACAAAACTCCAATATCTGTTTCTAAATCAACTCCAATTTTAAATGCGCTGACCGCATCTAGTTCAACAAGAATTTTTAGAAATTGAACATTTTTGCTCTATATAAATATCAATAGATTCCATTTATACATATATATACCATAGAATAAAAAAAATCACCTATGCATAATGTGTCACTTCAACATTCTAATCATTTTAAAATCTAAGCAAATGTAAAAATATACATTAAAGCATCTATATAGTATGTAATAAATTCGATACAATTAATAAATAAAGCCAGTAATTCAATCATACATGCAGTACTTTAAATTGCTGAGCCATTTTCAATAGTAAAAATTAAAAAACATTCAACCGTCATTCAAGCTACATTCTACATGTCTACCATTCTGAATGGCAGATCGAATGGCATTATTCGACAGTCAAATATTAGTGAATAGCAGTCGAATTGCATTATTCAGCATGTCCCATCAATATGTTGAGTTTTTACCAGTGTATTTAAAAGAGGCAAACGCATTCAAATTAACATAGTATTTATTCAGCGGTTAGTATTTAATAAGATGATCTTTAACTTTGATGACTGTATTTATTTTATGAACCATACTAATTACAAGATTTGGTGTACAATATTTCCATAGGAATACTTAAAACTCCAATTTTTCTGCTGCGTATTTTGTTAATTAAGAAAATCCTTTTCACAGACAAAGCTAGGTTAAGGGTTTGGTTTAATTTATATATTCTTGAACTATTGTACAATAGTGAACAATTTTACTAATAAACCGCAATGTTCTAATTATTTCCAGAGTTCTGGAGTTCTGAATTTATTCTAGATATACGCAAAATGCATTTTTTTTCAATTTTATTAAATTATAATTTTCTTTCGCTACAAACTTTTGATTTAATAAAGAAATCAAGACTATGAAACGTAAAGTCACATAGTGGAAAAGTATGCAAGAAGAATAAAATATGTACATATTAAACGAAAGGCTCTAATATACAAAAAAAAATTTTGCTGATATAAATTTTCTTTGTACATAGAAAACTAAACCAAAGCCAAAAACGCCTATTGAAGAAAATCATTATGAAATTAAAAATTGTTATTTTGTGGAATAGAATTTTTCTAAAAACTCTCTTTATGGAAATGGAATTTTATGCCTTCAGTATTTGCAGAATCGCAATCTTTTTTCAAACTTTTAGCCAACTCAGGAGGACCACTGTAATATACACCCACTTTAGTATTCAAACTTTCTTCTTTGCCCGGCAAGTAACAACCACTCTTAATTGCTCGATTCAATTGGCTAAATATACATCCAAAATTTGGATTGCCATAATGCGTTCTGCTTTCCAAATCCGTTAATGGATCATACAATCCAGATACATCATTAATCAT